CAATGATTTATCTGGAAATATTTCCTAAAAGTTGTTAGTAATTATTAAAGGAATTAAAGGGCAAAATGGTCATTTGACAAGGAAAATTTTTATATTCCTTTTATAAGATAAGGGAACCACGTGGAAAAGGAAAGAATTCTCCATAGTTTTCTTTCTTCTTCTTCCTCCTCCCGTATCTCCAAGCTCAAAGGTGAGTTTATTTTCTTGTTGATTAATTATTGATTTTAAGGTTGGGTTATGATTATTAGATGATAATTAAGCTTAAGGAAAGCTTAATTTGTTCTAAAACAACAAGATGAAAGATATAGAATAGATTAAAGAAAATGAGTGTTTAGATGAATTTCTGGAAAAGAGTTAATAAGTGAAATTTGAGAAGGAATTTGACTTGTCATCACTAAGAATAAGAGATTTATGAAGTTAGAAAGGATTAATAACAAAGTTGAAAATTTAGTAAGATTCTTAATTTTAAGAATCATGATGAGATATGGAAGATAGAGATGGTTTATATGAATACAAGTTGGTTTAAGTAATGGTAGTTGAGTTTAATGACATGATAGGGGCTTAAAATAAAAGAATTGAAGGAACAGTTAAGGATTTCCGGGTGTAAAATACAAATTCTGGGCAAAGTGTATCGATGCACATTCAATGTGTATCGATGCACTTTCAAATAAATGAACATCAAATGCAATTAGTGCATCGATGCATAAGGAGTGCATCGATGCATCCTCTTAAGAATAAAACATCGAAGGTGAAATGTGTACCGATGCACAGGTAGTGCATCGATGCACACGTTAAGGAGTGCATCGATGCACACGTTAAGGAATGCATAGATACACTGTAGAGTGCATCGATGCATACCTTTGTTAAAAGATGAAAATAGCTTTCTCTTAGCCTAAGAAATGATAGATTAGAATACATCAATTGGATATTGATATGTATCAATGTATGATTATATAGATATCGAGCACGAACAAGTTCCGGAATGATTATCAAGTTAAGATTCGTTCGAAAGAGAGGAAAATCATTAAAGGGGATTGAAACTTAGTGAGGCCAAGGTGGGTGCATACAAGTTAGTTTATGATGTTTAATGGAAATAAGTCTTGCGACGAGTCTATTTTATATATTAGAATGCATGAATTTATTATCATATGCATATGTTGATTTGGGTATATGTGATATATATTATAGTATGTATTAAATGATTTGTGTGAATACATGTAGTGTGATAAGTTATAGGAATTAATATGAATGATCTATATGATTACATGGGAATGTGAAACAGGTTATATGATAGTTGACCATACATGTTACATAGTAAATGTGATCAATTATAAGAATCAATATAATAGATTTATATGACTACATGAGAAGGGTGATGAGTTAAATAAGATTAGACTATATAGTAACATGAGAATAATTTATTAGTGAAGGGAATTGATTATAAATGATGATGCCAAACTATAAAATAAGTGTTCTAGAGAAGAAGTATACTTAAAGAGAATTATGGTATAGGAGTTATGTAAAATTTAACTAAATAAATAGATTAACTTATTATACAAATAATATTATATATGTGATATAAATTATATGTTATGGTATAAATAATTATGAGAATAAATGGAAAAATGAGACAAGATAAGTATTTACTTATAGGATAATATGAGATTATAAGAATATATAGTATAACTTTATGAGGAAGAATCGAGTGTTATATGATTTAGGTATGTAAATGATCTATGTGTAAGTAAATTACGTAATTATGTAACTATGTGTGAAATGGAGTATAGTAGGTAATTATAAGGTATGTGAATATAGGTATATAAGATAAGCCACATGACTATGAATTAAGTGAAATTAAATGGTGAGAATGATATGACAGAAAGTTATGAGAGAATATGTTATGAGAAGATATAAAAACAAGTATAAGCTATGTGATATGTGAGTATTATAAAGATGTTCTACGTGTATGTGTGATTTATATGGAAATGAACTACTTGACTACGTGTGATCTTATAAAAATGTAATAATAAGACATGTGACAAGAGATGTGTGATTACATGAAGGTATGATATAAGCTATGTGAAAGGGATCTATATGTCTATTTGATACGAATGTGTGAATATGTGACAAACATAAATATTAATGCCCATGTTATGTGTCTTGAGAGCTAGAGGTATAGTTGGCATGCCAAGAGTCGAGGGTCTACGCGGTCCTTCGGGACATATATGTATTCCTTGGAACATGTGTGATGTCTTTTAAGACACATATTTGACCCTTTGTATATGTATATGATTCTTAAGGAATTTTCTACATGGTCCTTAGGGACATTTTATATGGCACTTCGGTGCAATTCTACGCGGCACTTCGGTGCAATTCTACGTGGAACTTTGGTGCATTTATACGAGCTGTGGTGACAGCATTAGTGCACAACCTCTAGAGACTCACATATCAATAGTTCTCACATATGTACATGGGCTAATCAAGAAATGATAACAAATATATATTATGATATGATAAATTTTATAGCAAGGACATGATGAGTTATAGGTATAATATATGATTAAGAAGGTTAGGTATATGTGCTATGTGATTAAATGATAAGTGACTAATGATGATTTATATGCATGCATGTACTTCTTATTAGATAATCTGATATGATTTATATGATGATTTTTGTATTGCTTGGTTAATTGAATAATATGTTGAGTAAGAAAAAAATAGATATAAGAGGATATAATTATAAGATATAAATGATAAGAATATTGATAGTGAACTAAGGTTAGAGATTTAAAATAATGTGTGATATGTATATGTTATATATAATGTTATATTGTTTTGATGTGGTATTATAAGATGATATGTTCATGCATGTGTAAATAGTTAGAGTTGTTTTATAATTTAATGCCTCACTAAGTCATAGACTTAGCGTGTGATTGTTTCACACGTAGGTTACAGAAGCGAAGAAGAGCAAGACATGTCAACATCTCCCTTACAAAATTTCAGATCAGAAAATAGATGATTTAAATGTGTTTGGTTATTTTGAATATAGTTGGCATGTACTATTTGATTGAGTTAAATATGCTCTGATCGATTTTGGTTATTGTGGTCAATTCATGTAAATAAACCGCTTTTACTTTAATGAAAGTTTTAAATTTTCTTTGAATTTTGTCAAGAGTCAAAGTTTGAAAAGTCAATGTGACACCTCAGACTCGTATTCGGGTCGGGTACGGATCTGAGGGTGTTACAGTTATCTTCAAATTTGGCGTCCTCATACGAAGTAGCAAATCATCCAAACACGACTTGGCATCATCGAGTACGAAGGAGTAAGATCGTCATCAGATTTGGCGTCCTCAGATGATGAAGCAAATTATCCAAACACGATTTTTCATCCCTCAGGTGTAAAGAAATAAATCCTAGTAGGCCGAACATAATTTACTCATTTTTTTGTCTTTGTTCTATTACTGTTACACGATAATGAGTAAAAAAATGCAATTGCAATACCCCAATTTCAAATAAAATCAATTTAAACTAAAAAACCAAAATAAAATCTATTTCATTTATTTAAATAAAATACACAAAACCAATTAAAAATAACCCAAAACCAAAGTAATAAGAAAATAATATCTTTATCGAAAACTTGACCCACACCTAGGTTCAAATCCTGGCAGTCCCCTGGGGAGATTTTCCATTATTTTGTTTCTAATAAGTTTTTCACGGTGAGGTACTAAAATGAAACAAAAAGTAAATGTTAAATATAATTTTTTTTAAAAACAAAAATTTAGGTAACAGAAAAATGATAATTTAGGTCTAAATGTGTAATTTACCCTAATTTTTAAGATTATATATCCATAATAAAATGTGATGGATGATAAAAGCAGAAGATATCAACCGTAAATATAATACACCATTGCCATTCCTATCTATTTTCCGCTTCTTCACCTTTTACCTATCATATTCTCCATCTCTAATTGATTATCCAAAAGCCAGACAATGGTTGTTAAATAATATACATAAAAAAATGGTAAACTACACGTTTAATACCTAATTTATTATTTTTATTTCATTCTGGTATCAAATTTTATTTTTTTCAAAATCATACCTCACGTTTAGTTTAAATTTCATTTTGATATCCGACCGTTAAAAACTTAACGGTTATTTTGACGTTTCACCATAAGATAATACCACATCATCATTGAAAAGTAAAAAAATACCACATCAACAGTTCTATTAATTTTTGCGGGGTACCTTGAAACATAAACTAAACGATATATATAATTTTGAGAAAAAATAAAGTTTGAGTACCAAAAAGGAACATAAGTAATAGTTTATGTAAACATTTAATTTACCCAAAAATACTAATTGACATGTCATACTCGTGTGATTGTTTCAACATCACCCCTAGGGATGATAATTTTATCCGAAACCGAAGGTGTCCAACTCAATAGGGTCAGATTTTTTTAAAAAAAAATTAAGTTTAGGTTGGAATGGGTTCGGGTGGAGGGTGAAAAACCTCCGACTCAAACCGGGGGTAATAGAATAATTTTTCAAGTAAATTTATGGATAATTGTTGTAGTACCCCTTCTCTGTATATGTTTTAATTAGGTCCTTAATTTATGTCAGGTCGTATAAGATCGGGTCGATTTGTATTCCAAAAAATCAGTTCTGTTGAGTTTGGATGGAAGATATACATGTTTTGGGTTAAGTCGGATTAAGTGGAAGATATATATTTTTTATATCGAATCGGATATACATTTTTCAAGTTGAATCCAATTCACCAAACACCCGACCAAACCCAACCCGTCACCATCTCTAACCACAACTACCTCTTATTATTTTCTCATTGTGCCTCACTACTAGTTCCAAAAATGATAAATGATCTAAAAACCCAGTCGAGTTGAATAAATCTGACATTTTAACTCACAAAACCGGCATGCTCCGTTACCTGAGTTCAAACTTAATTGTCACAAAGCAATCGGCATGTTTGTTAATCATGACATCGGTTAACCTAACTCTGATTTTCTTATACAATTCAAGAATGCCACAAATAGTTTTAAAATACCAGACTAACACAATTGATAATATATGTCACAATAAATTTACATTGTGCACATCCTAGACTGAAGTTTCGGAAGAACCAAATGGTCTTATCTAACAAAAACAACTCAGTTTTAACGCATATCCCAACTTGAGTTCTATTGTCGAGAAATCGATTCCGTTGGCACTGATGAGGTCTGGTTATAAAAACCTTCAGAACCTTGGAAACTCTGGTAAGAATTAGTTGATGATGTGGCAAATAAGGATATGCCAGTCATTGCAGCCCCCGCCATGGAATAACCAGGCAAGGAAGGCTGCTGCAACGGTGTCATGCTATAGCTATATGGCACACCATTTATTGATCCACCAGTCGGCATGTACTGGGGTACAACGTATGGTGGCATCGGCGGCAGTGGTGGAGGAGACGATGATGGAGGTGGTGGCACTTCATTATTTTGAGTCAACCGCTTGGTGGTGGTCACAGCATTGTGTTGGAGAGATTCAGGATGAGGGAATGGCGAAACTGAAGCTTGAGGATTCTGAGATGGCATGTAAGACTGGTCATTCTCAAGCTTAGGCCTCTTCTCAGAAGGGTAATCACCAGATGAGTCTTTCAAAGGATTACCAATGACACCATCAGAAGCAAGAGAAGACAGGACATAGGAAAGCATCTCGGCAGAGGAAGTTGATGCAGTTAGCTTTGCAGCTACTGCAGCAGCTGCAGATTTCCGAGGATCTTCCTCAATGTGGCCAGAATTATCAACAAAAGATGCTTGCCGGGCATACATGACAGGAGCTGATTGCTCCATAGCTGATGGAATAAAACTTTGAGCTGCAACAGATGTTTGAGATCCCTTTGAACTTTGCTCAGCTACCAACTGGGGATTGTCAATATTTAAAAATAGTCTGCAGATATTAGCAGCATGTTCCGATCGGGACTGTGCAGCCTGTAAGAAATCATGAATATGGTCAGAATGATGTACTTATGGAAGTTACAATATTTTAAAATATATTTATGCTCAGATATAGATGCGTCATACCTGAAGCTCAGTATGAACTTGCTCCAACTTGAACTCCTGGCAAAAAAAGTAAATCAGCTTTATTTTAAAACAAATACAACCATTATTTTTGTAAATAGATTAGTTAGTCTAAGTAACCTGCTCCTGAAGAGCCTCTCTCAAATATGAGACTAGACTAGCTCTTGATGAGGCAACAGCTGTTAGCTGCTCGATGCAGTCTCTCAATACAGCATGCTGACCCTGGACCTCCTCCACAAGCGTAGATCCATTGAACTTCCCTGCTTAAAGGAGCTAATTTCTCATCAAGCAACAAAAGTATAGCTCATATATGCTAACAAAATGAGGAATGCAGGTCATACCTGTATTGACATCGGTCCCAATCTCTTTATCTACTTTCTCAATACAACTAATAGCATTCCTACATTTGCTGAATATAACATTTTCATCCATCTGACCACCATAAATGACATCATAGCCTGAAACTATTTTGTCCACCGTATTTTTAACAGGTTGCTTCTGCTAGGAAAAATATAAAGGAGAAATGACATTAGTCCATAACAAAAACATAAGTTATAAAACAACAGAATGCATTCCAAAAGGAATTTATCTTACCAACTTGAGGCCTACATGCCTGCCATTTCTATTATTGTTTTCTGATTGTGTGCCAACAAGCTCTTCCTTCAGAATTTGTCCTTGAGAACCAAATACTTTTCTCTCTTCCCATATACGGATCTACATATCAAAATAAAAAGAAAAGTGGTATATATTTATCACCTACTTTTGAAAATGACCATTTGAAACAGTATGACAATAAAATTTAAAGCACATATAATTGAAAGAAAATACTAAAAAATCACGCACAATGTCGCAATATAGTGAAAATAAAACACCATGCATTGTCCAATGACCTATCCAGTAACAGCGTTTGAATTGTCAAAAGTTAGGAAAACACCAAGCCAGTGAACTTGACCTGGAAATATAGTTGTACTAAAACAAAAGTTCAACTGCTGGACCTTGATAATTTAATAATCCCCACTAGAAAAAATGCAAATACTTTAAAACAATCAGAACCCAACGGATATCAATACAAGTGTTTTGAAACTTAGCCTATGATAGTTATAGACAAATTTATTAGAATAGCAAGTGCATGATAAGCGAGGATCAACAAGATTTAAAATAGAACCGGCAACAGAAGAATAATGTCATCATACTATGAATATCAACTTGGCATTATCAGATTAACTTTGTTTTGTAACATCACATTCTAAAGGAACCTAACTGCAACCACTCAGCTCTTCTATTTGACAAGAAAAGTTAAGAACTTTATTTCTGACACCGTTAATAGGGGCCGTGAAACACATTTGACCCTTCACAGAAATTTCAATTAAGAACCCAAGAAAACAAGACTGGTATGAAAGTTTAAGTTGCTATACCAGGCGCAATGCAGCATTCCTTGCAAATTTATCTCCATTTTCAATCACTACACGGAGAGCATTAGGAAGAACTTTCCAAAATTCACCAACAAATTCAGATCCCTTACGCCTGCTATTCTGCAAAATATCATTGGCAAGATACAGAAAGGCCAATCTCTGCTCATGTGGAGAGCAATGAAATTGTCTATCCCAAGTTTCAACAACTTGTTTTGCCTTATTCATATGGAAAATACACCAATGTGATAAAGCTTAACAAGTTAAGGGTGCAAAAATAAGCTTTAAAAGTTCACTTGTCGTATCATACATGGCAACCAGATAATCCAAGAGATATAAGCAATAAATTATGTTTGAGAAGTTATAAGTATCTGCTCAATTATTACGAGAGACAGTCGGAGAAAAACATGACCTGACAATGAAACAAAGATTGGCCAAAAAATAACTGCCATACATTGGCAAACAAGTAATTATTTTTCAAAAGGATACTCTCGATGCTTGCTTGTGAGTTATTAAGCTTGGATAGCTTTTCCACCAAGATTTGAGCATTAAATGAACTGCCCATTGTTTCTATTGAAGGGCTGAGCAACAATGACAGACAATAGAGACCTTTAAAATGCAACTTTCCAAAAGAAGCTGCTGCATATAAGAAAAAACAAAAAAAAAACAAAATATACACGCTAGCTAAGCAAAACTATATTGAATTTTAAGGTCCATATAAAAAATACTAAACATTTTAAAGTGAAAGGAAGATGCCCTATGAAAGCATCCTCCAATAAAGGTACAGCTTCTATAGAAATAACCTTACCTAATATTCCACAGCTAAACAGTTCCTGGTTCCTGAAAGTATTAAAAATTATATATTTTACATATCGTTCAATTCATCTATTTCACTACTAATGGAAAAATAAATTATTCTTAGCTCTCCCGTTACCTCACTAGTCAGAGAATATCATGAAAACTTAAATCACCATCAGTTGGCTTCAACTTAACAAAGAAAAATGAGAGTGAGTTTCCTATTTGAAAGACAAAATTGTGAATATGAAGCAGCTTCCTTGAGCTAAAAAAATAATATTGAAGCTAACGAACTTGAAATCAAGAATTAATTATCAATTAAAAAAAACTTTGTGCTGCAAGAATAATGAATAAATAAAGAAAACCCTAAGAAACAGAGAATGGAGGAGAAGAAGAAAAAGAGAGAACCTGCAAAAGGCGACAGCTGGTGACGCAGGCGACAATCAACGGCGGATGAGCATAAAAAGTTGGTCCATTTCTGTCGCCTTGGATAGTGAATTAGGGGAAACACTTGTTTTATTTGGGGATTAGGGTTTTGTTTCAAAATGCGTTTCTCTGTGTTGCAAAGGGTTTCGTGAGGGTAACTGTATGAACTGGAACTTTCGGCTCCGTTTTGAGTTTGGAATCCAAAACATACTATATGTCTATATATTTTTCTTTTTTCTCTACATATTAGAATTTTATATTTTGATGCGAGTAAATATATTTACCTTGACTAATTTAAATCGGCTCGTGTTGTAATTTAATTTTGGTAAGTACGTATTTCAACAAGAATTTTCTATATACATCTCGAGATCTTGTTTAAACGATATCAAATTATTTATCATTTCAACCAACCTCTATTAATAGTAAAAAATACTCCCCCATTAAATTTATTTAATTTAAATTTTAAAATTATCTCATTCAAAATATTATATTAAAAAAATTAATAAATAACAACACATATATTCTATTTTTTACCAGTATTCTTTTATGCATATCCAAACAAATCTATCGATTACTTTTTGAATAATAATTTTGTCATTTTTCTTATTCTATGTACACAATTAATAGGATGAAAGAAGTATTTTTTAATAAAATATTTATTATAAACCTGCCTAAAGAAAATACTCCTCATATATTCTTTTAACTATATATGTATTTAATAAGTGGATTTCCCCCCTTCTTTTACATGAGACTTTGCTTCTCACGGGTAGATGTAGAAATATTTTTTAAAGTGAGTATATATTAATAATAATAAAATTTATACGAGATAGATATAAATAAAATTTTAAGGTAAATACTATTATTAAAATAAACAACTAATAAAAAAATATTCGAATTTCATGTCGGTAGCTCCGCCACTAATTTCATTGATAAGCATGGAAATGGCACGAGTGAGCTAATTACAAAATTCGTATGGAAATCAAAGATAGGACGTCACTTAAAAGATTTTACTGTGTCAGAAATGCATTTTAAGTTTTATTTATTAATATTTATGGAGGGCAATTTTGTTTGAGTAATGGAGTTAGAAAAAAAAATCCAGATGTAATAGAGATATTCTTTGAATTAGGTCTTTGTTACAATACATGTTAGAAGTAATTAAGATTACACGACGACTCCTACCTAACATCATATTATCTTGTATCGCGTGAATAGATAAATCGTCTAACAATCCATACATTTTTCAAGAAGTCATCTAATAATCCGATTGACTTCCTCCTGACATCGTAAATATTATTCTATTTGAAAATAAAATAAAATTCTAAAGATATTAAAAGTGTAAATTTTTTCTCAAGTATATTATTTGGACACTTTTGCCATTAATGGAGTATTAATTCAGTTGGAAAAAAAGTTAACAAAATTAAATGATGACAAATATTGTTATATAGGAGTGTTTGTATTTTTTTCTTACATAAATTTTAAATAAAATTTATTACGTGCGAACACATGATTATAAGACTTTTATATAAATATTTATCATTTTAACTACAATCACTCGTTGAATATTTTTTGTTAAACTCATTTTTTCAACATATTGATCAGATCCGCACATGTAATTACACTGAAGGAAATTGAAATCCAACCGGATTTATCATATGAAGAGGAGCCAGTAAATATTTTAGCACATGGAGTCAAAGAACTAAGAAATAAGACGATTTCATTGGTAAAAGTTCTTTGGCGGAACCATAAAATTGAGGAACCAACTTAGGAACGAGAAGAAGATATGAAGAAAAAGTTTCTCCATCTATTTAATTCAGGTATGTAGATACGTAGGGAAAATTCGAGGACAAATTTTCTTTAAGGAGGGGGTAATTGTAATACACAAAATTTTGTCTAGGGACTAAATTATAAGTTTTAAAAGTTTAGTGGCTAGAGTATAAATTTTGAAAAGTTTAGGGACCAAAATTATAATTTTTAAAAGTTATATATTTTAGCCTGTAAATGAACAGTTTGGATTAAAACAGAAATTTTAGTGAGAATCAAATTTTCGGTATGGGATTTGTGTTAAAAGCTATAAAGCAATCAAGTTCGGTATTGAAATCGGATATTCAGATCGAACAGGAATTTTATGAAAATTTGAAAGATGTTAGAAAATAGTTTGAAATATTATTTTCATATTTTAGATTAGAGGAATTTGGCTCAAAACAATGCAATTTTTCAGATTTTACTGAAACAGTGGAATTTTAATGACTAAAATGTAATTTTTGAAAATTGCATGGATAAAGTGAAAATTCAAAGCCAAGTTGATTCATCTTTAACCAAGGAATATTTTAATGGAGAATATGACAATGGAAATTGTTAATTTTTAAGTTTCATTAATGGAAAAATGGAATTACCTAATAATTAAATAAAAATTCAATTATTTATTATTAAGCCATGTGTTAGGATTTATTTATTATTAGAATAATCAAGAAACTTGATCATTTTCAGCAACAAACTCTCCAAGGGCTAAAACTTTAAGTTCTTCAAGGTAAGAATTTTTAGTTTGATTTTTGTAGTTGTTTACTTGAATTTTAAGTTTAGCTATTAGATAAATAATTAATTTGCATGAAATTCTCTATCATTTGGTACCAAAATTTCATGGTAAAGATGATTGTGTGATGAGATTTGATGATTAGGGTTATGAAGAGTTTAGTGATTTTAAAGAGTTGTTGAAGGATTTTTTTTGTTTTTAATGTTAGTGACGATTTTTAAAGGATGTACAATAGTTAGAATTAATTATACATGTGTAAATAAGATTTGATCATGTTAGGGTTTGTGAGAATGATGATATTTTGATTCAATTTGATGTTGTGATGATTGGAAATGCATGAATTTAATCATAAGAGGTTGAATTCATGCTTGAAATTGAACAAAAAGTCCCCCTATGTGACTTGAATGTATCCGACCATAGGGAAGAAAATTAGGGGAAAATGTTGAAAATTTTCCTATGGATTAGAAATGATATGAGAAATATTCTATGTTGTTTGGAGATTGATTTGGATCAATTTGGAACCTTAAAAGTGAAAAAGGGTTAGTTTACAAGTTTTTGGAATTGTTGGATATTATTGTACGATTGAAATACTTGAAGGATTCAATGTTGATTTTGATATTTATAATGATGGAAATTTAGTTGGATAGTTGTTTGAAAACCAAATTTCAAATTCGGTAAATCTTGAAGTGGAATTCGAAAGGTCCCAAAACCTTAGGGACTTGTTTGCAAGTTCTTAAATATAGAAATATTATTTGAGTAAATTATTAAATGCTGGAAAATTTATTAGTATGCTGAATTTTGAATTACAATTTTATAAAGTTAGGTGGTTGAAAATCGAAAGTTAGGAAAGTTTGAGTAGAAATTATAAATGTTTGGAATGTTGAGGTACTAATTTGAGCATTTTATTAAAGTGCTGGAATTTTTATAATTAATGTGCAATGATCTTAATGGTGAAGGACCATTATGAACTAAATGGAAAGGTGGAGGTGAATTCTAAAAATAATGCACAACTTGTGGCTTATTTTTGTAAATTAGCAAAAGACGAAGGATTAAGGATGAAAATAAATATTCATGGATTTGTATGAGTATTTTGAGAAGTTAGAAATTATAGTGGAGATATGATTTAGTGTGATATCGTTTTAATTTCGATTTTTATTTTATAAATTTCTGAATATTAAAATCAGCTTATATTAGTACGATACTAATATGTAGTTTGAACACTTTATGTTATTAGTTGGTATTGTCAGACCACGATAAATCTTGCAATCTGGACGATTTGAAAGAAAAAAGAAAATCATGTGATTAGGAAAATCGCGTAAAGGGTACAATAGTGAGGTAAATGTGAGTACAGTTTGTTTATTTAATTATTTTGATCGATGACGACTTGCGATAAGTCAACATCATTTCAATTTACAGTATGATTTATAAAGCTTATAAAGAATGTTTTAATTATATTTTATATCAGTTTATAAATAATTTAGGGTATAACTACCCAAGCATGATATTTTTTATGATTTGTTGACTGCCAGTCTAACTACCTTTCAGGAAGTGGTAAATAAAGCTAAGGATTTGGAAATGGCACAAGAGGAAAGGGTTATGTTTGATCAGAGGAAACAATCACAAAGATTAGGATGATCATCCTCATCTCAATCTAAAAGAGGTCAAGGTTCAAGATATTAATACCAGAGTAAATCAGAAGTTGGTGCTTCTAGTCGCAGAGAATCTGAGGATAAGGAAAAAAGGCTTCAGGCACACATAGTGGATACAGGAGCTAGCAGATCATCTCAGTCTCAGGCACAATACCCATTAAATATGCGGTGTGGAAAATATCATCCTGGTGAATGTAAAGCGGGATTAGGAGTTTGTTTTCGATGTGAAGACCCAGGTTATTATATCAGAGACTGTCCGATGGTAGGAGAGAGATTTATTCAGACAGCGATCAGTGGTAATGCCTCAAAGATGTGGTCGAGGCAGAGGTAGAGGGAGGGATAATCAGAGACAGCATCCCAGTCCGATGTTCGTACTCCAGCTAGAATTTATAATATCAAGATTAGTGAGGATCGTGATGACCCAGAAATCATAGCAGGTACTTTCTATCTTTATGATAAGCATGTTTTTGTTTTGGTTGATTTGGGTTCTACGCATTCCTATATTAGCTCGAAATTAGTTAAAAATAAAAATATTAAGCTAAAACCCATCAATGGTGAGATAATAGTTGTAAATCCACTGGGTCATATTGCTAGAGTTACACGGATTAGTAGAAATTATTCGATAAAGATTCAAGGGGTTGTGTTCCCGATGAATCTTTTGGAGTTAATGTTTTACAAGTTTGAGACTATATTGAGCATGGATTGGTTATCTCGGTATTATGGTTGGGTAGATTGTCGCTTGAAGCGATTATTTATAAAGAATGTAGAGGGTGTTGGGATAGTAGTAATTAGAGAAAAAGCAAAATCTTTGTCAAATGTGATATCAGCAATGACAGGAATGAAAATAATGGAAAGTGGTTGTACAACTTTCTTAGCAAATTTGATTGATACTCGGATATCTGAAATTCTATTGGAGGATATTTCGACAGTTCAGGAATTTCCAGATGTATTTCCTGATGATTTACTCGGATTACCTCCTAATCAAGAAGT